TGACTGGAGCATTAATTTCATTTCCACAGCCACATGGAGCAAAAATTCCCAAAGAGCAGGACTTTTGCTAATGCCATGGAGTTGTTAAAGTGTCTTCAGTGCAGCTGCACTATCCTCCTTAAATCAGTAATGTGAGCAGCTCAACAATTTGTGCAGGAAATCATATAGAGGCACATAGCAGAGATCAGGTAACACTGGTTAACGAGATCAGTTGCTAGAAAGACCTTTCCTCCAATTTCATGCAACCACAGATGATCCTGCAATGAGACTGTGGCATTTAGATCTCTGTCAATCTTATATTTTCTTTACAAGTGACTCATCCCATTAATATGTAAGAAACACAATTAACAATTTTGCTTGTCTGCATTTATTTTGTTTTTATAGCAGATTTTCAAATTTAACTGTAAAAAGATGAGAGGTATGTGAATATATATAAATTTTATTAATAGGTTTTGCAAATAAAATTGATAAAAATTCAGGAAAACTAATAAATTATGATCTCCTTCATTAGTTGGCTCTTTGCAGTTTAAGAAGCAATGCTTATCTAAGTTTATACTGGCATTTTTTTAAGTCAGAAGGCAATTATCAAACTAATGTCAGTGATTCTATTCCAATTAAGAGCAATATTCTGAAAAATTTGAAAAATATTCTTTTCATCAGTGTACCAATTAAGACAATCTTGCTGTAATGAATTTCCCACTGCACTTGTGGGCAAACTGAACCCATTTTTTTAATACGCTACCTGCCTTTACACACACACAGCCTTAATATTCTCTCATTAATTGGTGGGCCTGGATTGTCTATAAACTTCTTTGAAGGATTGCTCTTTGCAGCATGAAAATTTCTTTCATGATAGGTTTTCAGGGTTAAATGGAAGATGACTGTTTGAAAAGCCTTTGGTGAGTTAAACAGATTCCTCCTCACTGAATGTATTTCAATGATACATTTCATATGCAGAGCAAAATACTAAAATAAGTTTTCAGCTACAAAAGAAAGGAAGTTTGCTTTGGTTTTATCTGCTTAACTTTTCTTATGGTTCACAGAAACATGAAAGAACATCAGTAGAATTCCAATGAACATTAACAATTACTTAGACATAGTTGCTAATATTCAGATCCTTAAAACTTTATTAAGGGTATTTTGAAGTCAGACACAGAAGAAGGTATTTTTCTTCGCTTGAAATACATTGAGTTTTATAAAAACTTCATGAAAAGTATGCCAAAAGTCATCAGGGTTTTTGAGAGGGAAAAAAAAGATAATCCTGTAACTTACATAAACCATGAAAAGGCAGGAAACGTTGTTTCTGTTATAGTAAATTAATTCTTTAAAAAAATTTACGGAATTTAAAATATGGTGTTCAACATGAAAGAAAAGGGGAAATAACACAGAAAAACCTGTATCCAAAGCCCATTTAAATCAACAGGTCCTTTCACTGATTGTTTAGTGGAACATGGATTAGGCCTTGAGGTGTTAAGAAGAAATAACTTATGCAGAACCAATCTGGTTTCAGTCTAAGAGCAGTTTTTTTGCTGAATTCCGTGAGAATTACATCTAATTTTTGTTGTAGTTGTTTATTTTCGTTTTTTTTGTTGAGGACCACACTTTGAGGCAGCCAGTCGTTAAATCGAAGATGTATTTGTAGTGAAACTTAAGTGACTGAAAAGAAACACAGGAGCAATGTTAGAATGCAGATCACAAACGTTATCTGAATAGATTTACTTTCAGAAATACAACAAATTTCTGTGTCTCTTTAATTAATCACTGACATTCACATCTGCAATCATTCACCAAGTACTTCAATGAGACAGCTGTGCTTAAGTAAAGAGTAGCAATTCTGTTCCTCAGAAACTTTGGCCTTTGCTCTAAGGCACTGGAGTCAAACCTGGAAGTGTCTGGCTGTTTGACAGATGCTGGGCATAGGTTTGTTTTAGAGAACACTTGACAAAAATGTGAAGCAACAATTGGCAGCACATGCATTCTTACTGACAACCTCTGTGCTAGTCTAGGGATGAAATGGGCACTACAGCTTGAGCTTGATGCTTTGTCCTTTCACATTCCATTCTGTTGACAGTCAGGTCAGCCTGTGGATTTTGTGATTCAGAATTGTACTTTTGCTTCCTAACTTTCCTGCTTTGCTGATACATAAAAACTGAATTCTTGCATCCTCCCATACTCCATATACTTCTCCCATAAAGAAAGGGCTAAATCATTTCCCATTAGAAGTGATGGTTTCTGCAGCTGGCAGATACACCATGCATGGAATTTCATAGCACGATAGCACAGTGGTTTGGCTGAGATTCAAATGTTGTATCTGCCTCCAGAGGCTATAGCAAGAGAATTCAGGAACAGCAGAAATACTCATTAACATTCTAAGTAAAAACTAATAGGGCTAAATACTCAATTACAATATTGGAAGACATGAATTTTTGTTACAGGCAAAAGTGGACTTAAAGGTGTGTTTTATAATTTAATGCAAACTTTTAAAAATATGACAAAATAATTATCTTTTAGTTACTGGCTAACATATTAAGTAATGGCAAAAGAGTAAATTCAAGTATGCTAAACTAAAAATTGCCTCTGTAAGAGCAAAAGTTATACAAATTGTCATAAAAATTGAATGTTATACACAAAAGAAAAATCATGTTTGGCATCATTGCCAAAAACTTCTAAACCAGTAAATCTTATCTCATTTGATTTAAATTTTAATTTACATGAAAAAAGGTTAGATATTTATTTTCCTTGGATTTCCACTTCGTAAAGTAAAATTATCCTAAGTATAGAGGGGGTTTGCCTGCAGTATAAAAAGCAAGCAGTTGCTTCCAGTACAAGTCATCTACATTTCAAATAAATGCAAGAAAATACTTCCTTCTTCACTTTGTAGATTTTTATTTATTGGTATTCAGAGGTCTTCATGTGTAAGAGTAATACATAGACTTAAGAAGGTAGGGACCCTGAATGTGTGAAATCACACATTCTGAGGTATTTAAAAAAAAGCTGAACAATCAAAAAAACAAGAACAAAGTAATCACTGTTCAGATTAGATAATACACATCTGATGCTATTTGTGCCTTCATCTTAATATCATCCCAGATGATGCAATGGCATTCTTTCAACATATTTGTATGGTCATTGCCAGTGTGAATTCACCTTAATTATCTTCTTAAGACTTGCAGCCTGTCTTCACCAAAAAGCAGGGTAAAGTACCCGTGATTCCAAACCAAAGGCTTCATTGTTTGACCAGCAGAGCTTTCATGTTGGCCCTGTGAAGGATGTTGTCTGTGAATGTCTCCAGTTGCCCTTTACAGCCTCAGATCTCCCTTAAGACATAAAAAAGAGAATAAGGGTCCTTCTTCTTGTACCTCCTCCTGTTAAAACTTTGACAACTCTCAAATCCCAATTTTAAAGCTATTAATGTCTTAGTCTAGTCAGTGGGATGAGGATTTCGTACAAGATTTTATTGCACACTGAAAATTGACTGAGTAGGTACCAAGGAGGCAATTCATCTGTATTAATGAACTTGACAGACATTAATACTGTGTTTTTTCTGTCCAGTAGCTGTTGTGAGTTTGCCTGGCTGCTGCAGAGAACATTACAGATGCACTGAAGGAAATGTACATTCCCCAGTTCTTGCTCAGCTTCCAGGCTGTCTCTGTCCTCCCAACTGATTGTGTAAACAGGCTTCTGCTTCCAGAAATGTTAACAGTAGATGTTTACTCTGTAACAACCCATTTTTGCAAAAAAATCCTATTAGCAGTTCCCTCTGGAAAACTATTGAGTCCTCATTTCTTATTCAACTAGTAGGGAATCCCCTTTATTATCATATGGTATTGCTAAAAAGAACAAGTTTTGCCAGGAAATACTGATTAGATGTGTCGAAAAGGGACTAAATGATTACATAATATGTATGGCTACTATACTACCTGGCATGTTACAATGAACAAATTAGGACTAGTTATTCCTCAGGCTGAAGGCAAAGGTATACACACCTAATGTCTGTGCTGACAGCCCATCAAGGGAAGAACTGCTGAAGTTGCTCTTCAGCCCTTGATTCAATCAGAAAAATATGCCTGTCATATTTTGGGGACAAAATATTTTATCTTCCTTCAATCAGAAGTTTGACAGACGAGTGCTTTCTGCAACTTATTTTATTTTATTTTATTAAGAGGGTCCTTCCATATTTTAGCAGCTACAGAAAGAATTTTTTCCTGTTTCTGCTATGCAACTAGAGCTCGAAAAAGTATCACTTGCCTGTCACAGGTTTTGTGAAACAGCACCAGGAAAGAGTAGGAGAAAGGCTTGTAACAGAGAGAGACAGGTATTTGTGTGACATGGTAGTGCTGTAGAAATTTTGAAGAGTTATTATCTCTGAGCACACACAGATGGACATGATCTCCCCTACCACAAATTGCTGTATGTGTATCACAGAATAGCCAGCAACTGGAAATTAATGGATTTGTTTCACAGCCCTTTTAGGATGTAGAGTCTTCCAAGGCAAGATCATGAACCTGTACAAATCATACATAGTTAGCATTCTTTCATCTGGAAAGTTTCAGTTTAGTGATCTTGCTCAGTTTAAACTTAGGGGTGCTTGAAGAACTGATTTTTTTTCTGTTTTTTTCTTACTTTTTGAGGGTTTGACCTTGTTAATTTGAAAATGAGGTACAAGTAAATACACAGCTGTGACTCTGACTATCTAGGTCATCTTTGGCATACCTCTTACATTTTTGGTCCAGTTTTTGCATATATAAGTTGTAGACATCAATCTTTCAAGCATTGCAAAGGATTTTGAACTAATTAATGTCTTAATTTCCTAAATAAAGAAAATTATCCAGCCTGTGAATTCCAAGTGTTCCATTATTCCTAGTTTCTTAACTAGGAAACTAATCATCAGATTAGCAAAGTCACTGGTTTTGTCATAAAAAAAAGATCTGTTGGACACAGATAATACATATCAGAAACCAATTGGTTATAACCAATCTTTTTTTCTCTTGTTTCTGCAGTATGTACGTGTGTCTTTTGACACAAAGCCTGACCTTCTTCTGCACCTGATGACCAAAGAGTGGCAGCTCGAGCTCCCCAAACTTCTCATCTCTGTGCATGGGGGCCTTCAGAATTTTGAACTTCAGCCAAAACTCAAACAAGTCTTTGGAAAAGGACTTATTAAGGCTGCAATGACAACTGGAGCATGGATTTTCACTGGAGGAGTAAACACAGGTAAGAACAACATTGAAATAAAAGCACAATGGCATCTAGGAGACTTCATCACAAAAAAGAAAAAAAGGTAGGAATGATGAGATTCGAATGCCATTCTATGTTTTATTATATTTGTCATTTCTGTACTATGTGAAAACAAGAAAATGCCAATAGAATAAAGAATAAGAATAAAAGGTTACTCAAGTATGAAAAGCACACTCTGGAGCTGAAAACAAAGCCTTCTGCGAGGCAATTGTATCAGTGTAACACCAAAGAAGGCTTTATAGGATCAACTGTATGCTGCAGGAACTAATCAAAGAAGTCCAACTCTTATTACACTTTCAAAATTGAAAACACTTTCATCCAGAAAGAACCTTTATTTTATATAATCAGGTGACCCAAAGTATTAAAAGAGAAAAGGATGTGGTGGGAAACTGCTTCCTTACTTGTAGAGAGCTTAACTTAATTTTTTTTGCTGTTACATTTTCATCAAGAGTGCTATCTGAGTGAAAGGGCATCTGTAATATGCCAAACAGGTGTCCTAGGGATCCAAGACAGCAGCTGGCCCAGCTCTGCTGGTAGTCAGCACACAGCACACTTTGGGAATAAGCTGCAAAACATCTACCTATGCAAAACATAGATTCCTAAGCAAAAAATTCTGATACTGACATCTCAGTTACCATGCTTGAAGGTGGCAGAAAGGGGAGAGATGCAAGGGAAGTTCAAAAAAAGTTCTGCTAGAGAGAATTGCACAAAGCTTTGAGTTAGGACATGAACTTGTAAATTCTAATGTCATTCTCATTTGCTGCAGTAGCAAAGCTATAATTTTTTACTTTAGTAAGAATGTATCTTCTTACTGTCTCTGGAAAACAATGTAATCATTCTATCCTGCGTTAATTTTAGTGCTTGGTGGACCAACTCCTACATGTTTGAATATAAATGCTTAATAGGAGTCTTGGACTTGGTTTCCAGACCACAAATTCAACAATCAAATCCACATCAAATTCAAAACAGTATTCAGTTTTATCACAGCAGCAATACAAGTAGCACAGAATCATGGAATATGCTGAGTTGGAAGGAGCTCACAGGGATCAAAGAGTCCAGCTCCTGGCCCTGCACAGGACAGCCCCAAGAATCACACCATGTGTCTGTGAGTGTTGTCCAAACACTTTCCAAACTCTGGCAGGTTTGGTGCCTGAAGAAAGGAAAAAGACATAGCTTTTGGAGTCTTAGATAAGTAGATCCAAATGTAATATGGCCCCCATCTCTTCAAAATAAGTAATAAAATCAGGTTGATGTTGGTCTATGCACCTTGATGATAATAATATTAGTTGTCAGATACTCTTGTCTTGATGATTGAAAAGACAGATGTCAATTTTATGTTAGAATAACATCAGAAAAATGTACTTGTTGTACCCATAATGCAGTGGATTACTACAGAAACTGTAAAAATTAAACTACAGTTTTGGTTTTTTTTTAAAAAAGGACAGATGATAACACGTTCACGTGGCAAATGCACAACTGCTTCCTGCCATTTTTCAAATCCTCATAGTTGCAAATGCAAAAAAAATACAAATGAACCAGGAAAGTCATCACAAATACTGTTGAAAAGGACTGGTATTCCTGTTATCAGAAACTACATAGTCAAAACAATGTAGTTCAAGTAGCTCTCTGCTGTTTTAAAAGCATACAATTCCAGAAGGAGTTTTGCAATATCAATAATCTTTCATTGTTCTCTTTAATTTCTGGAGGAAAGCAGTTGATTACTGCAGGACTAGGTTTTCAAACTGCATACCTGAAAATTATTTGTGAAATCATAAAAATTGACAATTTCTTGGTACAGTCTCTTTTGCTGAAAGTGAATTTTAAAATTGTGTTTTTCTTAAGGAAAATTATAACTGACAAGTCCTGAAATTTTGCAGCTGGACTGAGAATCTGTGATGTGAGAGAGACAGAGCATACCTGGCTATAAACATGACTGTTGTTCTGAATTTTCATGTCATGCTGAAAGTTGAACATTCTTAACAGCAGAAATTTTTGCAGTCAGCACAGATTTTCTGCTTTAAATCCTTTAGGCTGTTGGATCATGGCTTAATTCATAGCTGATGGCAAGTATAGGAATAGTTGTTTTTTTTTAACTTTCCACCACAGGGAGAACACTAGACTTGAGGACACAGAGTCTCTGTTAGATTGTGGGGAGTTTTCTTACCCTGAGTCATTTACAGCTCAGAAAACTACAACCAGACTCCTAACAATTGTGTGGCCATAATTTCTATCCAGTCATCTTGAAAGCATGAAATTTGAAAAATATGGAAACTCTTCAACTGAGAATCAGAGAACATCTGCAGAAAACCCACAGTCTGCTTCAGTGCAGCCACATCCTAAAAATAGTCATTAATAGAGAGATTTTAAAAGATTATTTTATGGAAAGGAAGGAGGAATGACACTTGTCCTTTGCACTGAGATACCACTGAAACACTGCCAAAGCTGGTCTAGGGTAAGCAAGCAGCACTTGGAAGAATGCTGGGGAGCAGCCATTCTCTCTGTATTTTCTGTTTTCTCACTGATTCCCAGAGCAGGTTCTAATATTCTGCTGGAAGCTATCTCAGGTGACTGAGTTTGTTTTTAAAGAGGGACAAGATAGCTTCATCTCAGGATAGCATAATGACATTTTCACATTTCCATCCTTGATGGAAGCATTCCTGTCCAGCTGCACTTCTGAGGGAGTTGGGGGGTGGGGGGCAAGGAGCAGAATTAATTCCTATGCTTCTTTCTGTACTTGGAAATACACAAATGCTTGCATGCACATGTGAGCACAAGTGCAAATAAATAAGCTGCAGTCAATTGTCAACATTTCCATTTTCCTTTCTAAAGCTGTGGTTTTTCCTTATTAATTCATTTAATAATTATTGGCTTCAATAAAATGAATTCACAGAAATTAATAATAAGAAATAGGAATGTATTCATAGCTTTACTTAATTGTAAGGATAGACACAGGTAAAAAAACAGCTCTATAATAAATCCATATTATTTTGAACAAAAAAAGACAATTATGAATTAATTTCTGTTTTATGCTGTTTCTTTTCCAGGGGTCATTCGGCATGTTGGAGATGCCCTGAAAGATCATGCCTCAAAATCTCGAGGGAAGATCTGCACCATCGGTATCGCTCCCTGGGGGATTGTGGAAAATCAAGAGGACCTGATTGGCAAAGATGTAAGACCTGTATAGACACAGATGACCTCCAGTAGCTATAAATCTTCCAGTTATTTTTCCTGTCCTCTCCATCATGCACTTAGCAATTCCTCTTAGAATTATTGTCTGCAGAAAAAGTCAATATATACACAGGTTTTCCATTAGGGTTGATGGGGGGGTTTTGACACGGCAGCAATAAAAATTCCTGCACAGTACGTTCATTTAAAATAAATTATAAGGGCATTTCATTAAAAGCTACTCTTGAAATTATATCAAATCTTCATCCTTAGAACTCTATGAACCTGGGAAAGTGCTTAAGAAAACACTGATTGCAAAACTTGAAATCTGATTTATTTTCAAACAATGCATTGGTTACCAAATGCATTGGTTAAATTCAAAATTGAAGGCTATCCTCCTTAGAATATATTCCCTCCCATATATTTTTATTGATGCAATTTTGAAAGGTCTTATTGGGTACTGCAGATAAGAGTGACCTCAAATAATTCACCTTCAGCCACTTTCTGAAGGACAGGGCTGGTGTTTCTCCTATTGCTTCACACCACTCTTCTCTTTCAAAACTTTAATACAGTAAGATTAACTCCCTAATTTTAAGTGCATGAATAGTTGGTCTACACTGGTTATTTGTTACCTGAAGCTTTTCTGAACCTGTTTTGGTTTTTTTGTTTCTCATTTCTGGTTCATTCCTAAGAAATCTGTCTGAGAACCAACTATGAGTGAAGAGATACAGTTTCCAATGAGCATAAAGAATTTCTTTCTTGTCTCCATTAGTCTAACCCATTCTTTTCTGTATGTTCTGCACCCATGACCAATTTGGGAAGAGGAAGAAGATTCAAGTATCACTTAAGTCAGAGAAGTTACAATGATTACAAAGAAAATTATCCAACTGGAGTTTATTGCAATTCACTATGAAGGTATAGCTGTTAGGGGGAACTGTATTAGCATGGAGCTTTGTACTCTAATACCACACAAACAAGCAGGGTCCGACTTTGCCACAGTAATTCTGAGTCACCAACAAACTCTTCTGAGCTGCAGTGCAGAAGATAATCAGCAGAAAAAGCTAAGTAAAAGGATGCATTCTATTTCCTTACAGTAGTGTAATGTATACAGCATTTTTAAATAAAAAGTCTTTAGTGGTGAGGCATGAGGTTCTGGAAACAGCAGGAACAAAGGTGTTAAGAAAAACATAAATTTAGCTGTGAATTTTGGAACACTGCTATTCCTTTATTACTTTTTTCCCTCAGTTGCAAAGCTACCTCAGTTCTCATGTAGTCACTGCCTGTTTAAGGGAGTCTGGAACCTTCTTTTGCATAAAAAGATGATAAAAGAACTTTCTTTCCCAGTTGTTCCAGTCAAGTGAAGCAGCTCCCCTGACTTCTGATTTCTTTAAGCAATGCTTTCCTCTAAATATCCTTTCAATTTAACAGGAAACCAAGAAGTTGTACTGTAATTTTATCTTAAAAATAAACAATTAAAAATAAACAAACATTTTCTGATTAAATCATAACCAAATTAATACTTACTCTGATCATTAGATAGAAAGCGACAAAAGTTTAATATAAAGTTACAGCTAATTTGGGTAAGGTCTTCTATTAATGCAGACACAATTATATCAGTAGGGTTACAATTGCAGGATCATCACTAAAGACAGAAATATTTCAAAAGAGTGTATCTTTGACAGACAAAATTAAATTTATCCTCTCAACCTCCTGGACCTTAATAGTTTTATAAAATTATTGATCAATGGCATGACGTAATGCTGGAGCACTTCTAGTTTTACCCATCTCTAATGCACATCTAATGATACAGCTTTATGCTTACTGGTACAGAATTTCATCTTCCATTTCATTGCCTCATCAGACTGCTTATGAAGACTTTAGTCCACTGAAATATTTGTAAGCTTTTCACCCTCTAATTATTCACAAATCCCTTACACCTATGTTGAATTGAATATAACACAGCTTGAGGTAGGCCATTTATGTCACTAAATCTTCTTACTAAGAGTCTTCAAGAAAATTACCTTTTCCTTCTCACTGTTTTCCCATCCTTCCCCCCAGCTTTCCTCAGTTACTTAAGTCTCAAAGGACTTTCTCTCTTAATCAATGCATGCAGATTCTTTAGAAGCATTTGGTGAGGAAGCTGTTTTGGAAGCTTTTTAAAAATCAAACTGTGCTATATTGACTGGCTCATTAGAGGTGAATGCTGTGAAATGAACCGAGAAGGGGAAATGTAAATAGTACCTTAAGCATGTAAAATGAGTCATCATTAAGCAAGAAACAAAGGCCACAAAGGATTATACAAGGGTGGGGTGGAGGGGGGGAAATCAACAAGTAGTAAAAGACTTGGTGAACTCTGGCATCAATGTGGATTTATGCCTATATGCACTATGTCTAGTTAAATTATGATCAGAACTGAAGAGCTGTAAAAACATACCCTTCCAGTCTCAGAGAGAAGCAGAAGAGTGTGGTGGCCATGGGGTTTGGAGGGGAGGCAGAGGGTGAGCTGTGGTCATGGCACATGCCCCAGTGCCTGTGGCCTCCCTGTGCCTCTTGGCAAGAGAGGTGTGCTCAGCAGAGGTGCTCCTCTGCTAATGCCTCAGCCCGTGCCTGGCCTTATGGATCCAGACTCCATAGCTGAGCAGTTTAATTATATTTACCCTTCCAAATCAGTCGGCCTTTGGGAATCCTGGGGGAATTCCTCAGAGCCATAAAGAAAACTGACCAAGTTAAAGGAAATATTATTGCTGTTTTCTAGTTGTTATATTGTGATGATTAAAGATCCCTAAAGACACGTGTCTTACTCCAGTACTATAAAAGCAATATAGCAGAAAATAGTACAGCTCTTAACACTCAGATTCTAATTTAAAAACAAAGAACACGAGGGAGTTAGTTGCCTTATTTCCCCATATTTTCTGATAGAACTGAGAAAGTAAAGTGGCTTGCTCAGTCTTGTAGAAAGCTGTGATTATAAACAAGTTGCTTCCTACACACAGAGCTATTCTCCCTTCTAAAAGAGCACACTTTGTAAGTCATTGTAGCATGCATCTCTTTATTTTCAGGGTCTGTTCCATCTTCATTTGAGTTTAATTCCAAGTCAACTCTGTAGGAGACAGGGGCAAAGATAAGGACTGGCATATTTGTAGCATATGTTGAGAATTTAGACCATGATACTTCCAAGAACCTCTAGATTAAATCAGGAATTACTCTTTTCCTGGTAAGCTCCAGAGCAGCAGGGCTGCAGAAACGGCTTGATTTGAACAGCTGCTACTCCCTGAAAAGTGAAGCATGCATCTCTTTCGTTTTCCATCACTACTTTGAGCTCACAGTTTGTCTCAAATTTTTTGCCTCCACATAGACTGCTCAGATTCATGCACTGGTTCACATGGCACTTGCGGGCTTGTTGTCATGGTGAGCTACCCTGAGAGACTTTTCAAGTGCTGTCACTGTGCCGAGTGCCATGTGCCCACAGGGAATCTAAGGAGATCAACTGTGCTTTTCACTCAAGCTTGCTGCCACCTCAGGGTGCAAAGGCAAGGGCTGGGGTCAGCCCAGCCACTCACCTATTGACAGAATTCCCTCAGCCCATGCAGCATGAGAACTGCTTCACAGCACGGCTGCTGTCGCGTTCATTAAGCTTCAGTATTTGGAGGGTCTGTTGTGAGCATAAGCTATTCCTTTCAGCTCTCCTTTCAGCAGAGGAAGATGTCAAGGGACATTATTCCTTATTCTCCCTATTCTCAGTGCAAAGTTGGATGGACTTTGAGCAATCTGGTCTAGTGGAGGGTGTCCCTGCCCATGATGGGGGGTCTTTAAGGTCAGCTGGGTGTTCTTTAAGGTCACTTCCAGCCCAGATTTTCATATGATTCTATGTCTGTAAAAAGAGGATGACAGCTTACACTCAAAGTTTTTTCCATCTATTTAACTTGCCTGTAAAATGCAAGGAGTTGAAAAAACAGACAAATGGGAACTGCAAGAGACAGAAATCAAGAATCTGCTTAGTGTTGTGAAAGAATAAGTAACCTCAAGGAAGTAGCCTGAAAGCCTAGGATGTTCTTACCTGCCTGAAGATTTTGTTTATCCTTTTCTCATGAAAAGTTTAACAGAGTCGTTTGAGAAATTTTATTGTTAAAAAAAATAATTCAGATGTTGAATTGTGCATGCTGTGAACAGTTCAGTTGAAAATAATTGTAGTCTCATTTTCACATCCATCAAATTTATTAATAATGTAACCCAACTTGTAGCTAAAAGCAGAACAAAAGGACAGCCTTCTAATCTGTCCTGCAGCATTACTGAGTCAATAAATGAGGGCTTCAGTACTGGGACTCATTAGAACTGCAGATCAAGCCGTCAGAATTAGGAGGTTTTGAGCTCTCAGGAACAAACCACAAGCTGTCAGTAGAATTGTCTGCACAATGGCCTGTACTCATACAATGAATGGGCAGCACAAGGGATTCCTCAGCCGTAAGGCCTTGCTGGTGTCCTTTTATTGAGAGATGGAGTGGGTATAATTTTAAAAGATCTGTTTTAATCTGATTTTATTTTATTCTTAGGGATGTGAGAAAGAACCTTCCTTTTCTTTCTGATGGTGGCACTGGGTACATGGTTTCTGTATCTGTAGAAGCTGCTATTAAACACATTCCAGCAGTGTACTGACATTCATTAAGTCACATGCAGCTGTAGAATAAATTGTTATGAATGGGGCTCCAAAAGAAACAGCATAAAAGAAATATGAGCCAGAGCTATCCCCAGTTCTCACAGAGTGTAGTGTACTGCCTTGCTGTTGGCCATCTGCCTTCTAGGTCTATTCCCCCCCTTTTTCAGGATGAAGAGCTTACAGAGCACCCTTTGCATGACAGTTCATAACAGCAAAAGAAGTTTGTGTATTTCTCCTTGCTGGCTAAGAGTTGATCAAAGTTAGGCAGACATTCACAGGTGAAAATAATGTATATAGAGAGATCTCTGGCTAAAGAATTGCTAGCACATATTATTTTTGAAGAATTGCATCTCAATTAGAGATCTCTTTAGAGTTGTTTGTTTGTCCCTCTTTAGAGGGACAAAAGCTTATGAATAAGTAAATAACTTATTATATTTCTGTCAGCAAGCATTTATGTCAAATTTTGTGTACACATTTGTGCATTAAAAGCACAAGAGCTGAAAAATGAACAATGTCAGAACTCTGAAGAAAATTACCTGCTAATGAAGGATAGCCCAGCTGAGTTTTCTAACAAGTCCTTACGGCATTTCTTCAGCTAGAACTTCATTTTACAGATTTCCAGCATTGTCTCTCCCAAAAGACAAGACATAAAGAGGAAAGGCATGTAATAGTACTGCTAGAAAATCTCTGAAGTATCAGTCAGGATGCCTCAAGACAACACCAATTCTTTTGCCATGTTAGTACAGTCCTACTTGCAAGTCTACTTACTGGTGTCCATAGATACCCACCGAAGCAGCTGGCAGCCAAATGTGACCCCATGCTCTTATTTGGTCATATTTAGTCTTATTTGGTGGCTATGAGTTGTGTATTTCAATCTGTCTGCTGCACTCAGTTTCCCCTGATGAGATCAAATCAAAGGAAGTGAAGCAAACTTCCCATTGAACAGAAACTTTCTAAAGCTGTTGTGAACACAAACAACTGCCTTTTTACTGATGCTAGGAGTGGGCCAGTAGTTTTTCCAAGAAAATTAAAAATGTGGTGTAATATAATGTGTACACCTCTCCAAGAGTAGAACTCACCTGTATTTGTGTGTCTCCAGTGCTGGTGGTTCTGGATGAACCAACACTTGAGCCATGATGCTGGGTGGGGTTTGTGAAGGAAGAATCAAAGAATTTGGTCAGAGCAAGGTGAGATTTTACAGCAATGCTGTAGATAGTCAGCAGCAGACAGGGTATACATTCTATACAGGTGTATGTAGTCACCCAGATCTTTGGAACACTGACCATTGGATTTTAAAAGAAGCAGTGAACGCTGGTACTACTGAAACAGGTTACCATGGAAAACACTTTAAGCCATGTCTGCATCTCAAAGGGCAGTGTTAAGATCATTTTCTACACATAAAAGACAGTAACACTCAAGTGCAGTACCTTAATTTTGATTATTTCTTTTGTTTCATCTTGTAAGCTCGAATCTTGTGATGATTTAGTACAGGGGTGCTTTTCTGTTTAGAAACCTGTAGAAACTCTTCTTTTTCCTTTGTTTCTAAAATGCAGGTGGTCCGACCATACCAGACGATGTCCAATCCCATGAGCAAGCTGACAGTGCTCAACAGCATGCATTCTCATTTTATTTTGGCTGACAATGGTACTACTGGTAAATATGGAGCAGAGGTAAAGCTTCGTAGACACCTGGAAAAGCACATTTCACTTCAGAAGATAAATACAAGTGAGTAGCGTGTTATTTGTATTGCTTTATAATTGCAAAAACCACTCAGTATAAAGAAGCAATAATTCTGCATATCTGGGGGAGTAGTTCTACTGTCCATGGTGACCATGAGCTAAGGAAAGCAAATAATGATGAACAAAGATAATAAATTTTGTTACAGAGTGCTGTGGATAAAGGCACAGCAAAAATAGCTGGATTTGTTCCAGCTAAGTTTCAAGAAGTATTTGCTAAGGTTCAGATTCCACTCAGGTCTTTGGAAGCCTTTCTTCCTTAGAACTGTCTACAGTTAGGTTCTCCTTTGTTCGGTAAAGAATGAGGTGAAATTAGTACAGTTGAAGAAAAGGGTGACGAAACATAAGGGAGAGTTCTTTTATTATAAATATTTTGCAGGTTGAAGAGACACTGATATTTATAGGCAGTGTTCCATAGGAGTGCTACTATACCTTTGCACTGTGTTTATTAGTTTCTTTGAGGCAGCTGTCATTTGCCAAAGCCAGAAGCTGAGTTAAGAGGTGTTCTTTCCACTTCATCTTTTGCAAACCTGATGATATCGCAACATGACCAGACTGAAGCCCCAGTTTTTATCTCAAAGTTATAATTTTTCTTTTCATGTACCACTTTCCTACCTAAATGAAAAAATAGTCACCTAAGTAAGCATTTCTGCATGGATAAAATAGAATATCTCAATACTAGTATTATTATTTCTGTAGTGCACCCACACTTGATGCTTGATGTAATGTACGTGCTTAGAGATGGGGACTTAATTCCAGTTCTGGATGACAAGGAATTACAGGCAGGCCCAACTGGCTGAACATAAACTAGAATGTTCTTCCTGCTTGATAAAGTTTTCTGTATAATTAATATAATCTGTGTTTAAATTAAAATTATGTGCCACTTACAGCCTTCAACAACACTGCATGAACTCCAGTCACTGCAGGCTTATTGTTTTTGGGATATCACAGTTATATTGCTTTTTCTCAGAGAGCACAAAGTAATTATGCACAAAGTATGTGCATGATGAGCAGTAGGTGCATGCCTGGGACCTTCCTTTGCAGATGAGGATAGTATAATCTAATCCTAGCTTGACCAGCAACAAGAAGGCACATTTGAATATGGCATATCATGAAAATACATAAAACTGTGGCATAAATAGAAGTTATTTTGAAGGTGCTTAAAAGAAAAGTGTGAGCTTTTACAGTTTACAGCACACATTTTGGTGGCAAAATCTTATCTTAAAAAATAAATCTCTTTAGAGAAATTTAACTTGTCAGATTTTGTCAATAGGCTTATCTTTTTAAAAGATACTTGGATGAAACTACAGACTTCGGTGGTTCAAGTCAAATGCTTGCCTGACTTCTTCAAACATCCATAAAAAATGAAGAATTTATTTTCTCTGTTTTCTTTCTGTAGTACACCCTGCACACAAAAGTATGCATCCTCCTTTCCACTTTCCTCTGTGATAGAGACTCTCCATCATTTAACCACTCCCTCCCTCTCTCTCTTATAAGCACAAAAGTACCTGGATCTCAGAACACTTCCTCAAAATTGAAATGTGAAAAAATTCTTCAAAAAGAAGGCTGCCAGTAAGATTTGTACATCTTGGTTCAGTGACATCCGGAATGTTTTCACAATGTTTTGCTTTTGTTTGCTTTAAAAGAGGGTGACTGAGTCCTGGCCACCCTCTAGTTATTAGGAAGTTGACCATATGGAAGAGAAAGACCACCTGCCTTCTTGGGTCAGCCAAACAGATGGCAAATTTCCGATGCTTTTCTTTAACCTTATTTATAGCAGAGCAATGTAGATCCCCATCCTGTGCATGACTGGGCATTGCTGCCAAGGGATTTTTATCCAAATGGGAGTCTGTGCAGCCATGCATGTATGTCTTCACATACCATATTCCAGCTGCAAGCATGTGGAGTGGGGGAAAACACTGACAGCATCACCATTTTCTTTGTGGGAGAGTCAGGAGAAGATGCAAGTTTTAGTTAATTGCTAAAAAAAAAACCAGTGTGCTCTAGAAAACAGAACAGATTTAGGAACTCGTAAACAATTGGTAACTTTTTATATCACAGCCTGCCCCTTAACAATAGCGCTGAAAGTGGATTTTATTCTTATTTTTAAGCTTGCCTGAGTTTTGCTAGGCTTGTCATTTCCTTTTATTTACTTTCCTTTGCTTTAACTATGTCTTTCTCCAGTGCAGTGATAGCTCTCCTGGATATTTGGGGTCACATACTGTTCACAAAGGGAGGCTTTAAATTTGTTCTCACATATTAAAGATACAGAAAATGGCATTCCTTTCAAATAGACTAGAACAGTGGCAGTTTCTTTTATAAAATTTAAAACTAAATTAGGTCATTAAATATGTCAGATAATTCTGAAAGTCTCAGCTGTTTTTGTTCCTAATACAGCATCATTATCAGTCATTCAGCAGTATCTAATTTCCTGCATAAGTGTACTATAAAATAAGAATAAGAACAGGAATAATAATAGAAGGAAGAAAACTAAGAAGACTCTCTAATTATGCCTCTTATGAGCAGTAGAGAAAAGATTTTATTGAGTATTCTGTTTTCCACTACCTTTTTAGGTTTTACCACTTGTATTGCTCTTATTTTGTCCTCAGCAAATACTCAGGAACTAAAAAATGTTTTTCAGACAAGCAGAGGGTGACATTTGTGGCCCTGAGCCTGCAGGTTCAGCACAGAGTCACTCAGTTGTGTGATTACCTAGAGGTCAATTTGATGCTTTAATGCTCAGCAGAGGTTTTTCTTATTTTCACAAAGGAAAAGTATTTTAACACAGCCCAGCAACCATCTCTTGAAGTGAGCATCAAGTTGTCTCAAGTCCTGGAGTTTCAAAGTGCATCATTTTGTAGCATGAAATGTTGAAAGTAAGAAGAACTTTTCTGAAAGTGTTTCAAGATCAAAATTCAAAGTGATCTGATCAGAAATGTTTCTGGTTTCCAATTCACACAAATACTTGTGTCCTGGACTTTTTGCAGAATTTTCAAGGCACAGAGATCACTTGAAGATATACACTGGAAGGACCTCACCCTATGAAGAAAAATATGTCTGTCACCTTTTTAACATCCCTGCAGATGGTTGTAGGACAGGTATAGGGTAACTCCTTAGACTCCTTTTCAAAAGGTTTAAACAAGCACTGCTGTCTCAAACTCTTCCTTAGGCTTATAGTCTAGGCCACTACAGACCTTTGCATCCTTCCTCTGAATGCTTCCCTGTTTCTCCTCATCCTTCATGGACTGCCCAAACCTGAATCCAGTGCTTCAGCTACAGCCCCACCTGCTAGTGATGAACAGAGTGAGCATGGCACAAAACCCCACACTTGGCACTCTGCTCTAATGTAGCCCAGGTTCCTGGTGTGCACCAAGAGCATGTCTGGGCACCCTCTGTAACCCTGAGTCCATGACATAAGAGTGTGGTTATCTGATTAGAACAAGAGACGTAAGTTTTATTCTGAACAGCCATAATTTACCATGGAATTCTTTTTTAAGAATGAACACCAAAAAATTGCAACTTATGTTGGATTTTTCAAGTTTGAACTTGATTTTCCTGAATATCATACAAGTCCTTACTGTCATTGAGAAAAAACAGTTTAAAAGAGTGTAGTCTAATTGATTATCCTTATAACAATAACTTACAGTCATAAAGCATCCATCCTCAGGAGATAGTCTGTCATATTGTGGGCCTAGCATTTAAATATTCTTTTTCTAAAGTTCTTGTGTGTCCCTCATCTCATCTGCTGTATTCCTTGGTTTAAGTCATTCTGAAGTGTAATATTTCAATGATAAATTTTATTCAGAAGGAATAGAAGGACTTCCTTCTTTTCTTTTTCTCCTTTCCCTGGTGCCTGGGAAGTCTTCAATACATTGTTAATTTTTTGTACCCTTTGCAACTGCTTTTTCAAAAATATTGTATACTTGGACCTTCTTTCCAATGGGTCACAATGGTGCAAAAAAATGTTTCCAAAGAGCTGGTTGAAAATAAAAAAGGCAAAACCATTTTCACCAGCTTTGTCACTGGTTTCAAAGTCAATAGATGGATATCTTATGATCACTCAAGTTGTGCAGTTAGTCTATTTTTTCCCCATCCTGTGAAAATACTAGTGCAGGACAAGAACTTAATGTGTCACCAAACAGATGATGTCCTCTATAAACAGAGAAAGGAAGTAAATGAAGCACCTAATTACTAGGGATTACCTATTGCAAATTCTCCTATTATAATATTCCTGGGCACTACAATCCAAAATAGCAAACTGTTTTTCCAAAGTGCTGTAGAATGGCCTGGTCATTTGCTAAGATATACCATTATCATTACCATTTCTGCAGAACATTGCTGAGTAATGCAATAGCCACATCAGTCGTGTCTTGAAGTAGAAATATAAAAGAAAGTCTACAAAATGTGCATTGGAAGTCACAAGTCATAAAATATTCATTCCTGCTTCTAACAGATGGTTATAGTAATTGCCAGTGTAGTATCTGAACTAACACATTTGATCTGAGGACTTTTAATCATTTTCAGACAAAGTCACTCTAATAGGTTGACATGCTGTGGGTTTCACTCATTTTGTGATTAGACAGAACAATGCTTTTTCATTACAAGTGTGGTCTAGAATTACGTCATATTGCATAAAAAGGGCCTGTACCAGCACTTGCAGAATCTTCAAAAATCCTACCTAAAGCTTCTCCCTTTTGGCTCTGCACTCCTGTTTGCATTTTTATGATATGCTGTTCATTCCTTCTGTTTGCACTGAGGCCTTCCTTTCATGTGCTGTAGTTGTTGCTATTAACTGACTTATTGCTGACTGTAATATTCCCAAGTCCTTAAAGCAAGTAAAGCATGGTTGCCAAGCACTTCCATCACAAATGCTTACTTTCCTTCCTATGATGAATGCTCTAACTGGAGCAGAGAAGCAAGACAAGAACACAGATTATTTATATATATAACGATCATTGCACATTACACATATGAAAGCTTTTAATTTGA